CCATCTGTCACCTCCCAAATGGGGCCACCAGTCCTGGGCCTCTGGTGCGCTCACCTGCACCCGCACGGATTTGCCGCGGGGTGTGGGGGTGCCGATGGGTGTGGGGGGTGCCCATGGGTGTGGGGGTGCCGATGGGTGTGGGGGGTGCCGATGGGTGTGGGGGTGCCGATGGGTGTGGAGGGTGTCGATGGGTGTGGGGGGCAGCGCATGCGCTGCCCTCCATGACGCTGTCCTCTCCTCCCCTCCCCGCAGGAAAGCACGACGGCTCGGTCGGCGGGAAGCAGTATTTCAAGTGTAACCCGGGCTACGGGCTGCTGGTGCGGCCCAGCCGAGTCCGCAGGGCCCCGGGCGCTGGGCGCAGGCGCAGCTCCCGGCCTCCGGGCGCCCCTGAGGCCCGCCGGAGTGCCACCCTCTCGGGCTCCACCACCAACCTGGCCTCGCTGACTGCTGCCCTGGCCAAGGTGGACAGGCCCAAGAACCCTGAAAACCGCAAGTCCTGGGCCAGCTGAGCCGCACGTCCAGCTGGTGCCACTGCCAGAGAGCCGGGCCCTCCAGCCGCAGGGCGCCCGGGCCCACCCGGAGCGAGGCCAGGAAGGCCTTTGGCCCACCGCCCGGCCGGTCACCGCTCGCGCCCGTCCTCCCCGGGTCCCTGGAAACTAACTTTCTTCTACGGTGGCGGCCCAGGCCCATGCAGGGCTGCGTCGGGGAGGGGCCGGAAGTTCCTGGAGGGGGAACAGGTCGGGACCGGACCGGAGACCGGCGGGGACCGGCCCCGCTGCCCCCGGGCGCCGCGGGCCGCCGCGCGCAGGCCCGGCCTTCTGCCTGCGCCGCGGACCTCGCTGCCTCCTTTAAACGCTTCCTCTAACGCGTGCCTTCTAACCAGCCGGCCGCCCTGCGCCGGGCCTGGCGTGGCCCTGGCCTCCCCAGCGGCCCTGGCTCCATCTTTCTGCCATTTTCCCTGACCAGGGTGCTTGGAATATATTTATTTCTATTTATTTTTCAAAAGCTGATGCCACTTGCGACCACAATCGTCCCCGCCCTGCGCGGGGTGTCTGGGCCTGCCACGCGGAGCCCCGGCCCTGCCCTCCCCGCGGGCTCCCCCCCGCCCTCCCCCGCGGGCTCCCCCAATGCCCTCCCCCGCAGGCTCCCCGCTTCCCCGCGGGCTCCCCCCCCGCCCTCCCCTGCGGGCTCCCCCCCGCCCTCCCCCGCGGGCTCCCCCCCCCCCCCCCCGGCCTCCCCCGTGGGCTCCCCCCTGCCTCCCCCGCGGGCTCCCCCCCGCCCTCCTCCGCGGGCTCCCCCCCCCCGGCCTCCCCCGTGGGCTCGCCGCCCGCCCGGGCCGCTGCCTTCCTGGGTGCAGCTGTGCTTTCGGGGATCAAGGCCCTGACAGTCTCTGGAGCCGCGCCTTTCTCCCGAGACACCTCAGGCAGCGCCCCCACGGGCTGTGAGGCCCCCACGGGCTGTGAGGCGGGCCGGGCCGGCAGGGGCGCCCCCTGCTCCGCGCCCCCCTTTCCCCGCGCCCTGTGAGCCCTGGGCCGGAATCTGCCCCGTCCTCTCCTGGCCCGCGTGTGCCCTCGCATCTAACCTTCTAACGACGTCCAGCGGGCATGGTTGCGGGCTGCTGCTCCGGCGCCCGCGCCCTTTGAGGAGCAGACCAGGCTCCCTGGCGCGGGGCGCGGGGCGCGGGGGGGGGGGGGGCAGCTCGCCGTAGGCCTCGTCGGACCCTGTGGCTTTCCCGGCCTCTGCCGGGGCGCGCTGGGCGCCGGAGCCCGGCATGCGCATGCGCGCCAGCGTGGCCGCGCTCTGCCCGCCCTGGCCAGAGGCTGGCGCAGGCGTGGAAGCCGCGGTGCTCTGCCTGGCAGGGGCTCGGTGCCCACGGCCCCTGCAGGTGTGGCCTCGGCCGGGGGACCCCGCGCCTCCCGTCCCAGGGCCGCAGGGAGGTCCCGGGGCGGACAGGGAGGCCGGGCTCAGTTCTTATCTTCCCCGAGTTTTGGCGACTGGGAGCGTGCGTCCAGCCGGGGCTCGCTCCCGCCTCGCTCCCCTCCGGGTCCCACGCACCGAAGCTCCGGATGGGCATGGCAGCATCACGGCCCAGCGCCGGGGTTTTCCAGCAGGAGGCCCGGGCCCCGAGGGCGGCGAGCCCGCGTGCTGTGTGTGTGTGTGGGGGGGGGGGTGCTGCAGGCCCGAGGCGCTCGGCCCGGTAACCCGGATGCCACGCCGGGGATGCCACGCCGGGGATGCCACGCCGGGGCCGCCCGCCCGGCTCAGGCTCGCCTTGCCGGCTCCTCACCGTCTGGCGGGTTCGGGGACCACCCTCTCCCTGTATCCAGCCCTCACCCCTCAGGCCTGGCCTCTGGGGTCCCCTAGCCCTGCGCACCCGGAGCCCAGGATGCCCAGGCACACGCGTGGGCCGCGCAGCTGGCCCGTGGCCTGGCGCCCCAGCCGGCCTCCCTCCGACCCCCGAGTCGGCCTCCCTCCGCCCCCCCTCCGCCCACGTCCCGTGGCCCAGCGTGGCTGTGGGCCGGGGGGATGGCGGGAGTGGGGAGCTTGTCCCGCTGGTGTTCCCGGGGGCTGACCCTGGTTCTCAGGGGCGCGCGGCCGGCCCGGCCTCCGCGGGGACACCTTGCCCCCGGCCCGGCGTCGTTCCTGCCGCTCTCCGGTGCGCGTGGACGGACACTAACCTGTGACCGCGTCCAAGATGGTCACCCACAGGTCGGGGAGGGCAGAGGGTGGCTGCAGTGCGCTTGGTTGCAGGCGCCCAGGCGCGACCAGAGCGCGCAGGAGGGCTGAGGGGCCGGTGACTGCGGCGGACCTGACCCCGGACCAGCTGGCCAGGTGCTGGGTGCGGGGCTGAGAGGCCCTGCGGCGCAGCCGGCCCGCCTGGCCGGCCCCCTCCGGCGCGGCTCCGCGTCCCTGCTGCCTGCCGCGTGCGGCCTCCCCGCGTCGCCAGCCCGGCGCGTCCGTCCCACGGTGCCCGGTGTCGGGAGCCGCAGGACAGCTGCTCGGAGCGGACTGTGTGAAGAACTTCACAGACAAGTGCTTTGGTTCCAGGATTATCAAATGGCGTTTAAAAACACCCCAAGACTGTCATGAACTGTAAAGACTTGGATCGTTTGTATGCTGTGCTGAGCTCAGCCACTGCCGTTCTGTACCGTACGTGCCTCCCACCAAGTGACCACGGCTTCCAAATAAACCGGACGGGCTCTGGCTGGGGTCCGCTGTCACCTGTCCCGCCGCCGCCTCCGCACAGGGCTGTGCTGCCCGCGCCCGGCCGTGGTTCTCCTTGACGCAGACTGACGGCAGGCCCGGCCCAGGCCCCGGCTCGCGGCGCCCCCGTCCCCCGCTCGGTGAGCCCTGGAAGAAGCCAGGAGCTGGCAGGAACCTGGGAGAGCCCCTGCCTATGGTAAGGGGCGCTCACCCCACCAAGGGCGGCTGCATCCGCTTCAAGCCGCATGTAGGTCAGGACGGGGGACAGAGGACTTCTGTCTACACCCGGAAAGGTGCTTTGGGAAGGGAAGAGGATTCTGGCCGTGGCTGGCACGGGTCTGGGGGTGCCGGGGGCTGTGGGGCCTGGTGCTAGTGTCGTTGAGCTCCTGCCCGGAGGGTTGGCCACTGCGCTGGGGAGGCCCGCGCCTCCTTTCCCGTGTGGTGGAGTCTGCGCTGCCCAGGTCCGGGTGAAGGAGCCCCACCTGGGGCTGTGGGGCAGGGTGGGGGGAGCCCTGGCCGCCTGAGCCAGCCTGCTTTTGTGCAGACTTGTTCTGAGATGGGCGCCACCAAGGAGGGGCAGACGGTGGCAGCTGGGAGCGGCCCTGGCGCTGAAGAGGCAGGAATCTGGCGGAATTGACGCAGCTCTGAGCATAAATCGTACTTTTAAGCAGCTGCTTTCTTGCAACTCAATGAGATGTCTACGTCCAAGTTCTTTTTCCCCCAGTTGCTCAGACCCCAGAGTGGGCTCTGTGGATGTCAAGTGTATTCACTTAGTCACCTGTCTTGGGTCTAGCTGTGAGCAGCTAATTCGTTCAATGGAGGCAACACGTCCTGCTGGGCTTGGTGGCAGGGGACCCTGGAGAGCAGCTGGTACCGCGCGGGGCCTGGGCTGAGGAGCCGCGCAGGGCTGCGCTCTGGGGAGGGGCAGCCAGGGGACAGGCCCGTGCACCCCGCGGCTGAAGGCCTCAGGCTGTGGGACTCAGGAGCAGATGGACACATCTCTTCCGCCCCCCATCTCTGTCCCTGTCTTATTTGTGCTGCCAGCATCCACTGCTGCCGTCAGGAGGTTTGGGCAGCTTTAAAAAGTTCCCGCCCCCCAGGGGTTTCCCTGGGGAGGAAGGCCTGTGGCTCCCGTGGTGTGGAGGGAAGGCCCGTGGCCCTGGGGAGGGAAGGCCCGTGGCTCCCGTGGTGTGGAGGGAAGGCCTGTGGCCCTGGGGAGGGAAGGCCCGTGGCTCCCGTGGTGTGGAGGGAAGGCCTGTGGCCCTGGGGAGGGAAGGCCCGTGGCTCCCGTGGTGTGGAGGGAAGCTGGGCACGCGTCCTCCAGCCCCATCAGTTCCATGCGAGCAAAACCAGAGCACAGCTTCAGCTTTGATGGGTCTAGCTGTTCAAGCTCGTCTCAGGAAGCTGCTCCGTGGCGCTACAGGGGCTGAGGGTGTGGCCTGGAGTGGGAAAAGCCCCTGGTCGCAGTCTGGGAGCAGGGGTGCCTTAGGGTCTCCGTGAGGCCTGTCACGTGGCAGGCCAGGGGGTCCACCTGCTCTAGGGAGATGAGCTTAGCCAAGCAATGCTTAGTGCTGCGACCTATTTCCCGTGACTCCCAGCCTCCCCAATCCCCAGAAACAGAGGCAAAGCAGCTCAGTACAGCATCTACCTGCCTACCTGCCACAGCGTCCCGCGTCCCATCACGCACGCTGCCTGCTGTTTCTTAACAAGATAACAGGAAGCAGAAGGGAACTGGTGTTTAGAACAGAGCGCGCACCAAGTGCCAGGCACTTCCCAAATGAAACCCGCAGCCTTCGTTCAGTTATACATTTTATTCTCTAATAGGTACAATACTAAAATAAACACAAATTAAAAAAAAGTTTTATTAAAACAAAACTGTACAAAAAAGCAGTATACTACATTTTAATTACAGAACAGTCTACTGTCCAAAAGGCACTAATCCAGAGTAGGAGATGCAATGATACTGGACTCATTGAAACTAGGTTAATTTATACAACAGAGCACTTGCTTCCTTGACCATTTACATCCAGAAACAAGGGCCTCTTGCTACAGTCATTACACATCGTTATAATCTGAGTCCTACAGTGAAGGCGCAGTATCGGTCTCCCTAGGGCGGGTCCCGAGGGTGGGGGGGGAGGAGGGTGGGAACCTGGAGCTGGTCTTGGCCCGGCCTCTGGTCTCTTGGTTACTGGCAGCCACATGAGCCCCTCGTGTTTAGCACCAGCGGAGTGGGTTCTGAGATGCTCCAGGGGAGGGGCTGGAGGGCTGAGGTCTGGTGACGAAGTGGCAGAGGCTCGGAGAGGGCAAGTGTGGTACCGGGAGGCGCCCGCTCAGGGATGGCCACTGCACCAGGGGGCTGTGGCAGACAGGACCATGGGCGCCCTGGCCGGGAGGCTTCCGGGATCACACCCCAGGGGCCTAGAGGAGCATCTATGGGAGGGACCGAATCAGTGTCAGTAATTTCTAGAAGGGCTTTTGCTTCCCAGAGTGCCACGCCCAGCCTCAAGTGTGTAAGCCACTTTCCGCCCTTGGTGCCATTCAGGGGCTGGGGTGGCGACAGGGGCCACTACAGCCCGGCCCTGTCCATGGCCAAGATGGCTGGCTGCGCCCCTGACGGGGTTCTCTTGTGGACCGGCCCTGAGGAAGAGGATACTGCGACTTTGCAGACAGTGTCGCACACAGAAGACAAAGACGGCATCGGATGCTCTAACAAAAATAAGGAACGAAGAAACAGGATTCAACCAACTCTGTTCTCACAGCAGCCTATACTACATCCTCCTTCTGCTTAGCAGAAAATTGTACGTACACAAAAATACAAATACACAATTCTGTAGAACAGTCTGATTTAATATATTTATATATATTTATATTTATACGAGTGGCAGGTTAGTTCATTATATAGAGCTTTTTGCACTTTTGGCTCATATGCAACAAGGCTTATAAATTCAGCTTTAGCTTTCATTCAGGTTTTATAGCTTTTGAACAATGGTTTTCACATTTAAAGCAGCATCCAATTTGCACTAGGAGTCTGGTGATTGCAGGAGGGGCGGGGGGGCGGGGCGATATACATTCCAGTGTGTGGCGTGAGGGAGGGTTCCACGCGGACAGCTCACCATGGTGACCCCTTGAGGTAGACTGAACACCGTACAGCAGACTCCGACACAGGTGTGACTCGCCCTCAGGGACACATGGTGCACAAGATGGGGACGGGAACCAGGGGAGACGCCGGAGGGAGACGCGAAGACTGAGGGAGACACACACAAGCCAAGGCAGGGAGGCGCTGCCGCCGCGCCCCGCAGGACCGCGCCGCGCCCCGCCTCCCGACCCGGGCGGACGCTAGGGACTGGCAGCCAGCCCTGAGGCACCGGGGCGGAGCACGACTGCGCTCCGCTGGCCTCTTCTCCAGCCCACAACCCGCGCGAGAGCACGCTGCACACTGCCCGACCACGGACATCCCTCCTCACCGCCCCACGCGTGACGGACAGCTCAAGTCCGGCTAAGGGAAGAGGACTCAGGCCCTCGGGCGGCCCCTCCCCTGCAGGCCGGGGCCAGGCTGCCCGGCGCTCCATCCGCACAGCCGCCTCACCACCGCCCGACTGCCCGCGCCGCCCTCCTCTCCGGGGCAGAATGCCACTGGCGCGCCTGCCCACGCGTGGCACGTGAATGCGGTGTGTGGATCATGACATTGTCTGAACAAAATGCTGGGTTACTAAAATAAAGTGCCTGGGTATGGATTGTTCCATTCTGCAAAACCTTTAAATGCACCCACAAGTCGTCTGCGTGCCACTCGCGGATGCGGCCTCCACATGGACGTCACGGATAATGTCCCACCCCGCCGAGGCTCAGGGCGGCGTCTCCAGGTCAGACATGCTGCTAAACGCAAGTGCCTCACGCTCATCTTCAAAGATGCGTGCTGGGTTTGCTCAACATCCTACCAACGTGGCCGGGGACGCAGGCTCCCTGCTCCCTACAATCTAGGACGAGAAGAGTGGGGTACCAACTCGGGGTTGGAATGAGTCTGTGGGTTCCTCAACTGCGACTAGGCCACGCGTCGTTCTCGTGGATCGGGGCGCACTGTCCGCGAGCGGAGAGAGGCGGAATCCCGCTCTGCGGCCCGCGTGCCCGCCCGGCCCCGCTCTGCCGCTACCGCGCCCTCGCGAAGCAGATGCAAATGCCCGCCGCACCGGGATCAGCACCACAGCAACAAAAGCCACGTGGGGAAGCGGCCAGGCCGGCCTGGCCGCGGGCGCGGGGCGGGGCGGGGCGGGAGGGACGGGCACAGGCCCCCGGCCGGCTCCAGAGGTCTGTAACTTGCTTAGGCACTTAAACATAAAGAAGAATTTATCCTGGCAAGGTACTGCATTCCCACACGACCACGCGGGCGGGAGGTGAGCCCACGGGAGTGGGCGAAGGCTGTGGGCTCCGCCGGGGGAGGCGGCGAGCGACCGAGCGTCTTCGGGAGGGCAGCGGCCTAGCTTGCAGCCGGGCTGCTCTGCAGCCACCCCGGCAGGGGACGGGCCCGCGGGGGCCGCCGGGCACTGTCTACGCTGAGAGGGAGGCGGGACGAAGCCAGAGCAGTGGAGACCCTTTGCCAGAACGGCCGATGCTGGACACAGAGCCCCGGCGACACCATCCCAAACCTTGGTTTTTCTTTCCTCCCATTCTAAGACACAACGAACGGGGCCACCCACTCCAGGGCCATCAACCTGAGCTTCGAGGCAATCACGATTCTGTTCCAGGAGCAGCCACACTGAGCTCAGCGCCCTCTCCCGACGGCTCATGCCGCCCACCACCCCAGCAGGCCTGGCCAGCTTGCAGCAAGGGAAGCGCCCGGCGGGGCAGCTGCTCACGGCGGCCCAGCCCGCGTCCTTTCGTTTTCCAGCGTAACAGCTTCATGAACGGTGAGGTGGGAGGAACGGCCCTGGAGTTGTTAGCCGGCTCTGGGCGCCAGTCAGGCAGCACCGGTGCGGCAAAGCCAGGCTTCTGCAGGACCCGCAAGCCGGCGGACACCTTGAGGCCACAGCCCTAGGCGCCGCATACTCAAATCCCGGCTCTAGCGGCCACCGCGCCTCGCCCACCACCCGGTCCAGGACCTCGATCAGCACCAAAACCAGAGGAAGGCACGCACAGCCCTTCCCATCCAAACCAGGGTGGTTTTCAGGAGGATGGGACGGGGCTAGCAACCGCGGGGCCGCTGCTGTCACGCGCCAGCGCCAGCACGCCCGGGCGTCACCCGGCAGGGTCTCACGAGTCCACGCCAGGGCCGGCTGCTCTGGGCCTCAAAGGTGCCCGTGAGGTGGCGGAACTAAGCCTTGAAGAACCGCTCATGGTTTTCAGAGAAAGACCTAGAAAAGAGGCCGGCAAGCCCAGCACCTCAGTCAAATCTTCAGGTCAGCCCGGAGTCCTGAGCAACCCCCGCGGAGCCTGACAGGAGCCACAGCAAGGCAGGGACCAGCCCCGCGGGACTGCAGACACCGGCACCTCTACACCTCCGTGTATCCATGCAGCTGCTGCTAACGCACCAGGGAAGGCTGCCGAGGGGCCAGGGAAGCCCCGGATGGCGGACACGAACCGTGTCCGGCCCTGAGGCTCGTGCCTGGCCTGCTGTGGCGGGCAGAGGGGACAGCGGTGTGTGTGGAAAAGATGGGTACAAACACGTCAGAAGACGAGCACAGAAGAGACCAGGAGTAACAGGAGCTCAGCGAGTGCTCCAAGAGCCGGGCAGAGAGCCGCTCCATCCGGGCCCACCGCAGCACACCTCCCCACCCCGCCTGCGGCCCTCCCACGCTCAGACAAGCCAGGGCCACATGGGTCTCCACCCTCTGACACACCAACAACTGTCCTCAGTTCCCATTACACCAGGGAGGAAGACTAGTCAGCAGCGGGGTTTCAGCCTGGAGGTGGCAGTGGGCCGGCAGGCCAGCTGCACTGAGACCCCCGAGAACAGGAAACAAGCCAGAAGCCAGCATCAGTGGCCGCCTGGCGTTGCCCAGGGAGCATCCGGGGCTCTGAGGACGGAGGAGGCAGCCCTGACATCAGCGCACCCTTGTCACTTGGTACGTTATGATTGAGACGGCATCTTCTTATATACACGATTTACTTCTGGTGTGTTATTCTAAAATCACTGCCTTTTCACTGATTTTGGTAAGCCGGCTGTGGGGACAGCTGGGGTAGGGCGTTGTGAATCAGAGTAGCCTCTGGGAACATCTGGAGAGGGCTGTCTCCCCAGCTCTCCGCCAGCAGCCCCGCCCTTGGGCCAGCACATCTGGTACTTCCATCCTTAAGACAGCAGATTCCATGGGAAGGTTCTGACTGCGGTGCTACCTGTTTCCTTTGCCTGTAAGCAGATGATCGGCGTGTTCAGCTAGCTGCACAGTGCTCACCTCACAAATCACAAAATTAGCTCAGCTAGTCAGCTCTCAGAATCTCTCCTCTTAAGGCAGATTGTATATTTTGTTAGAGAGTTACCTTTCCGCAGCTAGGGGAATAAGACAAGGGATGCCCTACCATCTGTTATAAACCCAGCAAATCATAAAAACGGACAGATCCCAAGAAAAAGTCTCAGTGACTGAAGGTGTGCAGTGTGTGCACGAGAGGCTGGGGGAAGAGAAGCGGTGATCGAAACATCGTGTACCCCCTCTTCCTCCACTAGCACAACAGCCGCACATCTCATTCCAGGTATGGGGAGGTACGGAAATGAAGGAATCTCAAGGATTAAAACCCTTTTGCTAAGTGCTGTGGGTGTGTGGGGGAGAGGGAGGATGACTGATGGAGACAAGAACAGCCTGCTCACAAACTGGAACGGCACCTAGCACTTCAGTCTCAAAATGGCTGGGAAAAGACCTCTACAAGGGCAACCAACAGTTTCTTTCGTAGCTACTCACCGGTCCGGGAGTGTGCATCCTGCAAGAGGTCAGGGCTGTGGACTGGGGTGCAGGAAGCTGCTTGAAAGACCACATGGCTGCGCCTGCTGCCATTTCTGCATTCCTCTAGAGGGTGCTCCTGCAGGCCATGGGCAGCCCGGGGGCCCACGGAGCGGGTCAAGAGCACACAGGGCCGGCGGCACCCGTGCTTGAGAAGGGCGGGAGGGAGGAGACAGAGCGCCTGCCGCAGGAGCAGGAAACTAGAACTGGTACAGAACAGCACGAGCAGCGCTGGCTGCTAGTGATGCGGGAAACTGAGCACCGCACATTTGTCCCTCTGCCCAGGTGACTCTGGAATATGCCAAGTGCCACACTCCATTCACTCCTGAGCGACGCCGGCTGATGCATATTCCCATCACGTTGTCTGCTCTGAGAAGGGAACTCGATTCAAGTCATTGTAAACTTCCCTTGGGCCGATCCTTTGTGACAATGATGGCCATGGAAGTATGGAGAACAGAAAGGAAACCCCTGAAGCCTCAGGGGAGCGGGCAGGGCCGGCAGGGCATCTGGCGGTGAGCAAGGGGGGGAGGGGGGGAGCCATCTTGGCCGGGGAGTCTCGCTGTGGTTCTCCGCCCAAGGTGGAGCAGGGTGGCACTGGATGGAGAAGAGAAGGTTTCAGAGAACTTCGAAGTCAGACACTGGGCACTCGTCAGAGCCTTCCGTTTCAGAGCTGAAACGGCTCCAAATCCTTTCTTCCCCTCTGCGAGGACATGAATACTATGTCATTATTTTAGTTTACCGAATCCCTGTTCCAAATGTTCTTGGGAGCATTAGTGCTAAAAGAGAACAAGGGATGGGAGCTCTGCTATTTTCAATCACATAAAGGACAGAAATCCTCTTAATTATGACCATGCCACTCTACATCCTGCTAACACAGCTAATTACATGTCAGGAGGACACTCAGTCATTCAGAACAATTGCCGTTATATTTTTATATATTCATCCTATGCCACCCCCCTCAATTACCATGGTTACAATTGGAAAAGATTCAGCCAAACCTCCATCTGATCACAACACACCAGCAGGAATTTGTGAGTTAATTATGGCTGTGCGGAGCCAGTCTTATTTAAAAGAGAGGGGGGAACATGCGGCCAGGGGCGCCGGCCACCCCGGATTTGTCCAGCGTGCTGAGCTGCCCAGTGCTGGGTGCAGACGGCTCCACCACAGGCCTCAGGCGGTCCTGCTGCCACACCTGGGGAAAGCCTAGGCAATGGCCAGGCTGCGTGCAGATGGGGCAGACCCACTGCGATCGTGCCTCTGCCTGGGGTGGGGCAGGGAGCGTGGGGAGGGGAGGGGAGGAGACAAGTGACATAGAAAGACTTGTGGAGTTCACTTGAATGGAATCAACCAGACTTAGTTCTCAAATACCAAAAGATGGCAAAGGGGGGTGGAGACGGACACACAGCAGCTCGGCGGCTCTCACAGGACATGCACGTTTGTCATTTCAAAGCAACTACCATACAGGTGCTCCTCACTCTTCTCTCCTGCCTCTTCTCTCAAGTTCAAGAAGCTGCACTCTTCAGATTGTTCGCTTTCTTTTTTTGCTGCAATTTCTCATCCCCACTAAGAAGGAATACTGAAGCAGAGATGGCAGCTTCTCAGCGTAAACAGCTGCATTTCTGGGCACGTTGTCTACAAAGAGCTTCTCTCTCAGTATGAATACGGGCACCCACCAAAGCCTTTCCCAGCACGGCTTACCTGGGAGAGGAGTTTCCACTATCAAAAATGGACTTATTGCATGGTACAGCTCCAGCCTTTTGTACGTCTGTTAGCTCTCCTGACAGCAATAAGGCAACCTCTCTCAAGTGAGAGGCATCTTGAATCCAAGGGTTTGTAAAGAAGACCATGTGATAGGAAGAAAAAAAGGCCTCTGCTTTGACAGTGTCACCATGAAATACCTAAACCTAAGCTGGCCCTTCACAGCTCGCCTCGGAGAGACTTCCTCCCTCACCACTGGCTGACCAGGTACCCGGACAACGTGAGCTACGCTCCGCGGAAAGCCAGCAGCAGTGAAGAGGTTTTCAGGCATGACAGCTCAACTTGCCACATTCAATATGGCTGACAACGGATGATCAAATCCTGAGTAAGTAGCGTAATTTGAAGAGCACAGAGAAGGAAGGAATGATGTGATGTGACACCCACCCCTCTCCCAGTGGTACCTTCCTGCCCCACAGTCAACCCCCCTCAAAGGTACCCGCAGAACTACTGGCCCAAGTGCCTGACCTTCACTTGGGAAATTTTGACAAATCAACCTGGCTCAGTAAAGCTATAAACAGATGTGGCTGGCCTTGATACAGCCACAATAAATACAGTAGTAAAACATTACGAATAACCACAACAAAATGTCAAACTCTATTACTATTCTGGCTTAAGTTTTGAGCCACAGAGACCAACAGAGAAACAGACGCACAGCAGAGGAGCTCGGGATGGTTCTTGTGCCGCTGAGCATGAGATTATCAGCCACAAAAAAAAAAAAGCTTATTGCCTAAGGAGTTGTGAAAACTCATGGGGAGGAAAAGACAAAAGGCGGTTTTAGAACAGAGGCAGGAGTTACACGGGGACCTTAATTCTAACCAAATCCTTCTTAAGACCAGAGACAGTAAGAACTTGAAGTTCACATTTACCAGTTGTGCAAAGGAGGCAATTCCCTCCGTGACGCAGACACGCTGGGCTGGCCAGTGCGGAACGGAGCTGGCCATCGTGGGATGGAGTGTTCATATTCAAAGAGGGACCAAACCCACCCGCTCTTCCTGCTGCCAGAGAGACAGAATCTCAGCACAGTCAACGGGCGTCAAGGCTGCAGTGGCGCAGCTTAGAGAAACCTAGAGCTGTCAGAGGCAGAGGGACAGCACACACCTGACAGACGACTGCTCTGCTCCCCGACTGTGACTGGACTCCCCAAGTGAGCTTCTAGACAGACAGTCAGAGGCCAAGGAAAACACGGAAATGATTATGACACTGAGTTCTTCATGAGTCCTCCCCTTTGAGGTAAAAGTCTGTCCAGACATTTGGACCACACAGGGGTGTGGCTGAATCAGAAATCTTCCAGGAACGAACCACTGGATTCACATACTTTGGTATTAATGGCTGCTTCCTCAAGTAGGGTTTTTTAGGAGTCATCTCTATTGAGCAGGGTAATAGATGAAAGGGGCTTTCTGTCTCCCAGGGCCAGGTTCCCTCTTCTCCCTGATAGAGTAATTCAACATGGTAAGTTCTGTAGAAATAGCCCAAAATGTCTCCTTGTACAAAGGACATAGGTCTCGGGTCAGAGTGTTCTGCTTTGTGCTCCCCTGGCCTCCCTGGCTTCCCTCTGTTGGTAAGGTTATATTCAGACCAGCAGAAGTCTCCAGGGATGGTCCATCTTTAAAAGGTCCTATGTAATTAATGTTCTTAAAGGTTCAGAAAGGTTACCCACTGGGACGCCAAGGCACCTTCACAAAGTAGCAAACTCCATGAACGCCCTTGCACTTTTCAAACCCTTCCTTGGCTAGGAAGGCACAGCCTCAGACTGATGTTTGGGCTGAAGTAGACACAGAAGCGAGAGCAGGGGCAGCAAGCAAGCAGCACTGAATGTGGGTTCTGCAGCGTTTGGCTCTTCCCCTTTTAGTGATAAGAAAATTTTAGTTTCCTTTTTTTTTTTTTTTTTTTGGTGTGCCTGTCCTGGGGCTTGAACTCAGAGCCTGGACTCTGTCCCCGAGCTTTTGTGCTCAAGGCCAGTGCTCTACTACTTGAGCCATACCCCCCTCTTCTGGCTTTTTGGTGGGTAACTGGAGATAAACGAGTTTCATGCACTCTCCTGCCCAGGCTGGCTTCAAACTGTGTTTCTCAGATCTTAGCCTCCCGGGTAGCTAGGATTATAGGCAAAAGCCATCAGTGCCGGCGGGAGTTTCTTGTTCAACAAAACCACCCTTAAACCTGAAAATGTTTAAAGAAAAAGTTTACCATCCAAAGGAATAAGACATCAAATATGGCAACTCCACGCACCATGGCAAAAACTAACGTCGTATTGGACAACATAGAATTGGACCTGGTGACAAAGAGAAAACCAATGGGAGGTTTAAATCTTGACCCCAAAGAAGTAAATTCTTATTGTGGGTGAAAAAGCCCAAGCTCCCAGTAAGGCTGAGGTCAGAAGGATGTGGGTGAGAGGTTTTCTGCCGTTACCGACCCGGCTCACTATGGAGCCATTCTCCAAGCAGCACTGCCTGTCTGCACTGACCGACTCCCAGGCTCCTCCCGGCCTTTTTTCTTCGTTAAAGGTCTTACAACAGTCAAGCATTTCAGCTCTTCTGTGGCACTCACTGAGATTCTTTAGAAACTGCGCTGTTTGAAACGTCTGAGACTGCTCCTTTAAAAACTCTAGCCAGAACAAATGACACTAGGAATCTCATCATAAAGAAGCTATCAATTAGAATAATCTCCTTACAATAAATCATGGAGGTGACTTGTCACAGAATATATTTTTTCTTTCTCTCCTGTTCTTTCTGAGTCAACTGAGAGTAAATAGACAAAACTCCACTGAAACAGAAAGATACAGTAGTTCTAATAGAAGAAAATGAAACAAGCACAACTCAATTTCCTAATTGAAATACAAAGTAAAGCCAAGAAAGAATGTATGAGGGGGTAGGGGTAGGGGGAGAAGGAGGGGAGCGTGTCATTCCTGAGATTAACAAATGCTACTCTTGAATCTATTGACTCAAGTAATACAGAAAAAGATTGCTCCATTTCACTCTTGGAGGCTGGGAAAAATGAAGACAATTCCCCCTTCCCAAATCCACCAACAGGAGCGAGTCCAGACCCTGCCTGCATCTGTCCACAGTCACGGGCGCGGGGAAGGCGGCACCCTCTGCCCACGCTGACGTAAGCAGGATTCAGAGCTAAGCGGGTAATCGAGTCACCGTGTGCCGCAAGAGCAGTGAGACCAGCTAAAAATTTGAAGCTACTAGTCTACGAACACCAAAGGAAAAAAATGAAGCGGGTCAGCAGCCTCCCCATCCCCAGCCCCAAATAGTTTTAAACTTAAATATAGATGGTGAGGGAGGAGAGGGAACAAGGAGAGGAAGTGGCAAGTTCTCTCCATTGCACAAATGGTTTCAGGTAATGGACAGAAGGACAGAAGCCCTGCTCAATGGGCTCCCCACGCTCTCCTTGAAACAAGGCCTCATCAGACGGACGGAGGAGAGATGGGATGCGGCAGGAAATGCATAGCTGTGGTGCCTCTTTCGGGCGCACGCTACACCGCTACCCTGAAGGCTGTTTCCTCTTACCCACAGTGACAGTGTGTCATTTAATCAGGTCGCCAGGAGATCATTTTCATACAAGGCCAGCAGATGTAATTTTCTTTGATGCATGAGTAGTTCATCATTTTGCTACGAGATGACAAGGTGATCACAGGGTGGCTTTATAACGCAAGTTCACTGTTTGGTATTTTGAGTTCTCAAAATGAAAAAAAGGTTTATCAAATATAAATATCTTTAAAAAGTAACAAAAGTGCTACATATGCGATCAAGGAAAAAAAATTCCATTAGTTACTGCCACTTAAAGTAGATTAAACGTTACAAATATTACCACATCCATTATCAATATGGCTTCCAATTGTTGAATAAATTGCCTATAGCAATATAGCTTTTCACACCTCTCCAAGGACAGAGAAAAGAGACCAACACGCAATCACATCCCGTGTGTCCCGCACACCCGCAAGGTACGTGGTCAATGTCCCCTGCTCTTTTGTGCTCCTAATCTGGTGAGCATTTGTATCTGCGATCGTCAGTCGGCAGGAACCCCTACACAGTCTCTGTCAGCTCTGGGTGCAAGGACTATTCTTCCACTTACTTTTGACCTTAGCTTCATCCTCGAAAGACTTTTTTTGGTAGCAGGGAAAGGGGAAACAGACAGTAAGTGAAGCGACTTCCGTGATACCGTCTAGGACTTATTCCCGGCAGGCACTGCTAACTGTACCATGGAATGTACGGTGTTTCTAAGAACTGGTCTTAGCATCCATTACATGTTCAGCTCACACTTTTTTTCCAATGCTCTCAAGCTGGGTTTTGTTAGTCTTTTTTTTGTTTTGTTTTTTATAACTTAATCTCTTCATTTTGTTTTGAATCATGGTCCCAAAGGCAGAAGGCAGTATTGTTATCTACCAAGTCACACAGCTTGTGAGAGGAAAGAACGTCTGGGTCAGTCACATTAACAACCACCAAAATCTGAGCTAGAGTATCCACTGACATTCTTAACACAGCACCCAAAGAAGTATAGTCTAGCCACGGTGTGGCTATGAGGCACGGCTTATTGCAGCTGAATCAGCGACTCCATGCTGAGGGGTTCTAGTGTTCCTTCACTCTGCGAGTGCTCCCCAAAAGGCATCTCTCTATCCTGTGCCACTACCTCAGCTTGCATCCGGTCAGTCTTGGGGCAGAAATAGGGGGTACAGACCAGTGTTACAGGAATCTAAAGGTACCCGAGATTTTACACACAGCCTAATATTTGAGGACTGAGGGTTATCTAAACACCTGGAAGCACTTTCTTAGAATGCTAAGACGGAGCAGCAAGATTTTCTAGCCTCGGGACTGGGAGAGGGGCGTCTGGTTGGTTGGTTGGTTGGTTGGTTATTATTACTGGGATTTTAATACTGAGAGAGTATATGCAAAGGCTGAGGGCACCATGCCATCTTCACAGAACAAGACCCTAACGGCTACCTGACATACAAGAAACTGCAAGTTATACTGTAAGAACACATGTTAAGGACCGAGGAAAGTCTGCTAAGGTGCTACGTCTAAACTAAGTTAACTTGTCACGTTTAACCCTCCCTGATCAGTCATCATCCAGGGCCTCTGTCTTGATTTCGCTGGCTCCTTGGCGGGCCAGTGCCAAGATAGTATGGTTGACGGCTGCCATCTCCACAGCTAATGAGATGGGGTCTTGGTGGTCACTATGGCTCGTGCTGTCGTCCTAGATGTGCAGAAGTAAGAAACACAGGTTATTAGTGGATCAGCACAATTCTCTAGCTCACAGAAAGGCATGCAGGGGCAAGGGGAGACAGAACATCTGTGGAAGAACTGATTGGGAGCATCTTATGAAAGAGGTGAACTGTATTTAAGTAGACACTGAATGGATATAGGTCCAGAGCCTCCCCGTTGACATTTTTCTGACTTAACGAAGAAATTAAAACTCAAAATGCCCTTTCTCTGAGAATTTTACCCACTCTATCGAGAAGATTGCCGGTGGTAATTGTACCTTCAGTGATTAATATAAAACAATAATTTGGGTGTTTACAATTAGAGCATGAGTTATTAAAGTCATGGTATTTTTCCACTCAACTGAAACAACAAGACAAAACGTAAGACCAGGCATCAACATCTTACAGGTAAGAAAAAAGAAAGACTTCTTAGTTATGGCCAAAGTGTGGCTACATAAGTAGCTAGGGGAGAAAGGGGTGGCACGCTCCTGCTAGAGGAAGATGTGTGAAGGAAGTGCCAGCATCTATTTAGAGCGAGTGCCAAGTCTCCCCCCCTCCAAGCTCCACACGTTAGACAATAAAGCTGAGAAGGAAACGGGTGCTGCAGATGCATGTGAGGCAGTGAAGATGGAGTCACAAGTAGGGGGCGTGCTTCTCACCTGTCACATCCTCAGGGGAAGGCTATCACAGAGCTTTGGAAGGGGTAAGTCCCCTGGGGGAAAAAGCAAGAGATGTGCTGCCCTCAGGGCATCTGCAAAGAAAGATGGAAATGATCCATCTGCATCCGTTGGCTGAAAAATGTTCCCAACTAGAAAGACTTACAGAACATTCTCTGGAGTACAAGGTGGGGCTATGATCTGGAGTAGTAATGGAAAAAAAGGAAACCCTGGGGATGTGTGGACTTGAGCAGTTTCCTTGTGAGGTCCACAGATTAGGGACCTGCACGGAACTGTATACAACTGTATACCGGTGCAGTGTCTGCACTCAGGCTGGCACGCCAGGACGTGCAGCCGTCAGGAGAAGGAAGAACGCGGTGGGCTCTGTGAACTGGCTGCACGGCAACGAAAGCAAGAAAGAGGCAGCGTTTTCTTTCTGAGTCTAAGGAAAGGGACCATAGATTTTCTCCATTGTCCAAGCAGAAGTGAAACTTAAATCCTGTACGAATTTTCAGTGAACTCTGTCAACATGTGGAGGCAAAACTCCCAGTCTTCCTTACTGGATTTATTCCATGCAGTGGCTACAATTAAATACATTTTCCCCCAAGCAATGAAGAATAAACCAGGATGAGATGAGAAGACATGCGGGTGTTGCATTAAGGCCAGGATGCCTGTGGCAATGTGCCAGAGACTCTGGAAGAACCACTCCTCTGGGCATGAGGGTTACCACTGCAACAGGGCTGGAGTGGGTGGGGCCTTCCATTGTGCCCTGCATTGGTCATGTTTAGGCACGGGTCACAGCTGCCCAGATGCCCCTAGTACTTCTCAAACACTGAGTGTGTGTGGTGAATGGTGTAACTTGCTTGTTTGGGTCAGATCCTCCTCTCTTCTTCTACCTTCTCTGCTTCTCTGCCTCCCTCTGAACTTCTTCCCTCCTCCTCCTCCCCATTGCGTACTTGCCAAGTATCCTGTTGTATGACAATAAATCCAGGTGGGTGAATAGCGATTTCTCACAAATTCAACAGGACAACTGAATCTTACCACATTCCTTTAAAATTACATGACAGTCTAACTAGACACATGAGCAGAGTGGAGGACACTGGCTCATCCCCTCCCCAGCCCCGCACAACCACACCCCTGCACTTGAGTCAGTAAACCACCCCCTGCTCAGTAGCTAGGAGCTTCTGCCCAGCTGCCCGCCCTCACCTGCTCTGAGTAGTCGTTGCCATCAACGTCATCGCTGTTGGAATGGCCTCCAGGACTCTGTACGTCTATCCCATGACTCTCCAGGATTGCTGCTTCTTCGAAAAAAGCAAATAGATCCCTAAATTATCTGTTACCTTATTCTGACGGAAACCTAGATTTTGTGTTGAGGTAATTAGGTTGTAAGGAAACAAGAACCTATGTTCCTTGGTAGTTTGATTCTCAGGCACACATTTGCCATCCTGGAGTCCCTGCTATGAGGGACTCCAGAATTTATAGTGTACAACATGATGTACTCTAATATGGATATGTTGTGGAATGATTAAATCCAAAATAAAAATATGAAGTGTTATCTCACTAACGTTTACTGGACTCTTTGTTGTTAAGTCTCTTTCATTACAGTTTTTTATCTTTTTTTTTAATGCTGGTGCTGGGGCTTAAACTAAGGGCCTAGATGCTGCTCCTTGGGCTTTTTCATTCAAGGCCGGAGGTCTCCCAACTGAGCCACATCTCTACTTCTGGCTTTTTGGTGGTCAATTGGAAGTAAGAGTATTCATGGACTTTCCTGCCCGGGCTAGCTTACAACTGTGATCCTCAGATCTCAGCTTCTTGAGTAGCTAGGATTATAGGTGTGAGCCTCCAGCACCTGGCTGTTCCAGTTCTATAAATCAATTGTTTTCTAATATCTAAGTCAAAGCCCAGCAGTAACAAATAAGCTTGTGGTATTGCAATTCTTCTCAAGACCCATGTACCATAGTAGTATCAGGGGCTGTCTAATTCTGAATTATGGGACATTAGGAACAAAGAATATTATCGAATAACAGTGTTATGATTCTTATAAAACAAGTAGTACAAATAATACTAACTTCAGGTTACCAAAAATAAAATGAAGAAAAACATAAGGGCGACTCTTGTTAGGCTTAAAAGTTAGGCTCATTTAGACCTGAAGCTCTTAAGCTAAAAGCACCCTTACCATGATATGGTAACTTGGTCATGAGTGCAACCTCTCTGATACATTACCGATATTGGCTCTCCTCTTGATCTCCTTCCGTCTGTTAGCAAACCAGTTATATACTTTCAGGGAGGTGACCCGTTCCAGGTCAGACAGTTTTTTGCCTGTGAATATACGCAATTAAATTCAGGTAATCTATGTCTGGAACCCAAAAATAAGAATTCGTTTAAGAGATAATGTTTTTCTTTTTTTAAAGGTTGCTTTTGATTCTATTCATTACCAAAATAACAGATGCAGGGAAAATTTTCTTAGCAATATGTAGTATCATGTACACATTCTGGTATTACTCAATGAATAAAAATGCACAAATAAATATACAACTAGCAACTAGTAAGAATATGCTTCAACTTAGAAAGCCATAAACAATTTTTTTTGGGGGAGGGGTCGGTCATTAGGCTTGAACTCTGGGCCTAAATGCTGTTCCTCAGTTCTTCAGCTCAAGGCTAGCGCTCTACCACTTAAGCCACTGTTTACTACTTCTGGTTTTCTGAGTGGTTTATTGGAGATAAGTCTCATGGACTTTCCTGCCTGGGCTGGCTTTGAACTGCAGTCCTCAGATCTCAGCCTCCTGAGCAGCTAGGATTACAGGCATGAGCCACCGGCACCCGACAGCCATAAACAATATTGAATTCCACAAAGCTTCCGTATCCATGCTGTCCTATTATTGCACTGTTCATTTCATTACCATCATTCTAGAGGAGTAAGTTATTCTCTGTCAAGTATCCAGATAACAGAAATTTACTCACATCTTAAGGCTTTACATAAACTACTTTCCTGGTATCTTAAGACAGAGGCTATGATACATGTTTTCTTGAAGGCTAAAAGCCACTGTGAGCATCCATTACTGGGACTATGCTGGAACACACAGTATTATTCAGGTTGCATTTTAGATTTATTGTCTTCTCTGTTGTCCAAGGTGATTTCTTATGAAGAGCATCATGTTCGCCAATGAAGGACCCATGTGGATCATTCCCTCCCCACTTGTCCTTTTCCTGCTTTTCAGCATTCCATCCACAGTGGGTGGAGAAGTCAGGAAATAGACTTGGTAAAGTCTTAATGCTATGGGGTTAAAGGTGTTTTCAAGTTCCTGGATGGCCTTAGGTGGGGACTTTTATGTAAAAAGAGGGCCCAGCTTCATCACACTTAGATGTGGATGGAACTGGGCCAATCTTCCTACAAGTCTGGTTTCTAGATATGGGAGAAGAGATTCCTACTTCACTGTTACAAGACACCGATGTTTTTTGCATACAGTCTTTAAAACAAAACAATTGGCCAAATAGCAATTAGAATGGTCTCTGGAATACAATCTATAAAATATGAAATAATATTTAAGCGTGGAATAAAATACATAGGAAGTAGTTAAGTCACTCAGTGGTACACACAAGAACAAGACTTCAAATTGATCACCACGCTCTTCCTGGCTAAGCAGGAGCCGTCCCATGTGGGAAGACCGAAGCCAGCTCCAAAGAGCTGTCCTCCAAAAGGAGCATGCACACACAAGTTAGTGACGATGCTTTAAAAAACTATTCCAATCTTCTTATGAATATGAACCAAACTTGCTTAAATAGTTCAAACCTTAAGATTATTTTTGAATTGATATATGCTTTGTAAACTTTGGAAAAAGCAATCCCTGCGTTAAAGAAGCAATCATTTCAAGTTCTCAAATCTCCCCCGGGGTCACTCCCTCGAACGCCTCCAGTGCGTGTGTGACAGTGACATCCCTGCAAGAAGTGCTTGAGTAGGACAGGTGGTGGCTGCACATGGGCACATTCACACGGGAGGAGAAGGGCCCTCGGGTCCTAAATGCTTGTGCAACAACAGGGAGCTCACGGAAGGGTGGAGCGAGCTGAGCTTGCCTTCTTACCTGGCTTCTGTATAACTGCATTGCAAGCATTTGCAATTTCTTCTCTCTTTGCTTCATCTGGGTATTGATTCTCATTGAAATAACTGCAGGGGGACCAATACAGACACATTTTAAAAGAAACTTTTAAAAAATGCACTATTTTTAAAATCCCGCTTATTTAAAATAAGTTCTTTACAGCAAAAATCAAGAACTCTAACAACAACAGATGCTGGAGGGGATGTGGACAGAAAGGAACCTTACTTCATTGTTGGTGGGAATGTAAACTTGTTCAACCACTTTGGAAAGCAGTATGGAGGTTCCTCAAAAGACTCCACATAGAACTCCCCTATGACCCAGCAATCCCACTTTTGGGCATTTACCCTAATGTTTACAAAAAAGACCACACTAAAGCTACCAGCACAACTATGTTTATTGCAGCATTATTTACCATAGCTAAGATATGGAACCAACCCAGATGCCCCTCAGTAGATGAATGGATCAAGAAAATGTGGTATATATACACAATGGAATTCTATGCCTCCATCAGAAAGAATGACATTTCCCCATTTGTTAGGAAATGGAAAGGCTTGGAAAAAATTATATTAAGTGAAGTAAGCCAGGCCCAAAGAAACATAGGTCCCATGGTTTCTCTTATTTGCAATATCTAGTATAGGTATGAGTCAAGCGGAAAAGGTCAGATAATGTGATGTTAGGAAAACGAACCCTTAAATATGTATTTTAATGTTTTCGTTTCTTTCATGCATGTGTTTCTAACGCATTTATAAGATTATTTCTTTGTTGTTTTGTATGTCCCTCCCCCACAGTGTAACCCCCACTTTCACTATATTTGATGTCAGTATAACATGTGGAGGAGATGGGGACAAACAAGTCGTTTAAGGATTCAGGTGGACCTGTTGCAACAATGAGAAGTACAAAATGTCATGTCAAAACCAGCTTTACAATGTCGGTGTGGGGGGGAGGAGGGGGGTATGATTGGGTGGGGGGGAGGGGGGAGGCTGGGAAGGGAGGTGAAGGGTAAACAAAGGAGGAGGCTGCAATGCTTGGTAAGAAATGTATGCATTATCCTGCCCATGTAATTGTAACCCCTCTGTACAGTATGTTCTCAAATAAAATAAAATAAAATTTAAAAAAATAAATAAGTTCTTTACAATGTAATATTGGAGTGTCTCACCGAGGTTGTGGAACAGAATTTTCTGTAAGAGACAAAGGCTCTCTTCTGTGCTGTTCTGTATAATAACTAGTATTCACGCAGCTGCTGAGCACAGGAAATGAGTTTAATGTAAAGAGCAGACTTTTAGCTTTCATTTAACTACTGTACATTTATATAGCTACATGGGACTGGTGGCTGTTATGTGGAACAGCACAGGACTAACTACAGACTGCTGTGCCTCATTAAAAGATGTCATTGATATAATACTGATTTTTTTCATATTCGTGATTGGTTAAAGTCACATTGTGTTACTGAGGCACCAGTTAACAATAGGGCTATTATTTTTTGGCCATACTGTTTGTAGAAACAAAAATTGGAAATTATCCAATTGCCCATTAACAGGAGAATGGGAGAACGAAGTGTGGACATCTATATTTATACACAGCTATTTAGAAGTGGCTAGAAAAAAATAAGTTAGAGCCCTGTCCACTGACTGGACAGATGTTTATGATGTGTATTATGTGAGAAAAACAATCTGCAGATTAATATGCATGCAAAGTGCCATTGTAGAATTTTAAGTGTCTGTCTAGCAGTTTACATGGAGAAAAGCTGAAAGAGTATATACATCAGGATGGAAACAGGGAGAGAGGAGTTGAGTGGGCTTGCATTTCTCACATGTGAAAAGTAGATATTTTCCTTATAGCATTTTTTCAAAGTTAGGTTTGCTGGATCTGTCAGATCCATGAGAGTCTGTGCGAGAAGAGAATGCTTATGATTAGTGCTTTTCCTGTCATCTATGAGGTTAAAAATAGAAAAAGAATACTCATGCCTTTGAGCCTACAAACAGGTTTAGGAAAAGAACCTTCATTACATCACACTGTAGTACCCCTCAGGGTGTTTCTCACACTCCCTCCTGCACTGGTAGATAGGCCACTCATGGTGAAATTGCCCTCACACCTCTCGCCTCGGCCTCATCTCCACACCTGACTCCTGAAGCCCCTTCCTCTAGCCAGGCTTCTACACAGAAGACATGCCTTCACTGCAGCCAGCTTCCCACCACTTCTGCTCTAAAATACAAGTCACCCCACAGTGCTCTCCCAGTCTTGTTAATGACACCCTCTACACGGTTTACTGATGTAGACTGTGGTCTGAATACACAGTAACATCTGGGTACTGCCAACTGCTTCATTTACTCAAGACCCATGACATGCAGACATTACATATTGACTGTGTTTGGCACTGTAAAAACCAGTTTCTGACTTCAAGGAGAGACGAATGTGTCAATGTTCTTATGGTGAAAGGCCACGTGATTGGAGGACGGCACTGGGGTGTACCCAGTGTGGTGGGCATGGTCCCAGAAAGACACCTCAGAGAAGTGCCATCTGATCTGAGTCTTCAGGACAGGCAGGAGGTAGCAAGGCAGAGAAAAGGAAGAACGTGTTGTAAGAAAGGAATAGCACATGCAATGGGAAGGTGGTAGACTAAAGCCTTGAGTATTCTGTGCATTGGGTAGAGTTCAGTGTGTTTCTAACATGGGGTGCATTCAAGGACATAAAGATATCAGTCTGGAAAGGTGAAATGATGGCAATTTTTGATGAGCCTTGTCTGTCCTCTGAAGAGTAAAGACCTGATGCTGGGAATCTGAGAGGTTTTCAAACGACATTTCCCTCTGTGCCCATTCTTGGATCCTAGCTCCACCCATCTCCAGTTCCTGAACCCCATTCATTTTGCTTTTACATATCATTCCCCTTTCTGACCTCACCTTTCATTTCCTGCCTGAACTTTACAACAAGTGAAATCTACAATGCTCCTGCGAAGAAACCTGGGCTGCTGACCTTTTCTGTGCTTCCACTATACCTGTCCAGCCAGTCTCCTACCCTTCAGAAAGAACCTTGCATTTTTCTCCCATCCTTCTCTCAGGGTACCAAGTGTTCTTGGACAAAGTCATAAAATAGGGCCAGTTGGTTCCTTTATGACTTCTTGCTCTTCAGTCGGAACTGGGCCCTCACCTGTGGTGTGAATTCTTTCAGACCTTATCTTTCAGCCCTACTTACCCGAAACCTCTGCACTTTGGTGTCCCAAACCCTGAAACCTACCACTGTTACTTTTGTTGTTGTTGTTGGTCATGGCGCCTGAACTCTGGGCCTGGGCACTGTCCCTGGGCTCTTCAGCTCAAGGCTAGTGCTCTACTACTTGAGCCACAGCACCACTTCCAGCTTTTTGTGCTTATGTGGTGCTAAGGAATGGAACCCAGGGCCTCATGCATGCAAGGCAAGCACTCTACCACTGAGCCACCTTCCCAACCCGTTACTCTTTTTGATTATGACTTTGCCTTCTATTTGCCAAAATGGATGTTATTTAATATCAGTGGGCTTCATCTTTTAGCTTTCCAACTTCCTTCACCATGTAGTAAAGACTCAAGTGATAGAATGCTAGCTACAAGCAAGAAACCCCACCGAGAGCACAAGACCTTGAATTCAAGCCCCAGAACTGGCGCGCGCGCGCACACACACCACACATACACACACACACACATACACACACACACACACACACACACACACACACACACACACACACACACACACACACACACACACACACACACACACACACACACCACACTTCAAACCAAAACACCCTTCCTTAGGTCATTGATTATTCATTTCTTTGTCTCATAGCAGAGAAAATGTATATATCATCCCTCTTTTTAGTGTCAACTTCTCCACTTTCCAGCAGTACTGAGGATTTGAACTTAGGGCCGTGACGGCACCACACCAAATAATTTTGTTTTTTAGTCTTTCAGACAGGGTCTGTGGCAGACTATGATCCTCCACTGGTTGTCTCCTAAGGTATGCGTCACTGGGCCTGGCCCCTACTTGTGTCTTTGATCTTGTCTTCCTTTCTTCCATTTTCTTTTCCCCTCAAATTTTCCTTTCTGTCTTGTATTCCCCAGCCTTTCTATGCCAATGCAATGACTAGATACACTGATTATACAATGCGCACCTCTTTACTATATCACCTCTAAAATCAGGACACGCTTTATAAATGGTAATGTTTTAAAATTAAGTGTGGCAGCATTTTTTCTCTCTCTCACTGGTATGTAAAATAAGATGTGTTTTACAATCAAGACCTTAAATAGAACATGGTACCGAGCATATGGTACCTGCTAAGACCCAAGGTCCCATTTAAAATAACAGCTCTATGGCTATTTTACCTCATGATAATTTCCAACTGACTAGAAAGCTTGTACCATCACCAGGCCCCTTTCTATGTCTGATTACTATTCCTCATGCATATCTCTAAGCAGCAGTACCACTCTGTTAACAGATTTTCAAAGGTTTTCAGGTGTTCAGTCTTCTCATGTGCTCCTGTCTTTTTATCTGCTGCTACATCTACGTATGTATGCTATAGTTTAGGAAAATGGAATAACCTTGTAAACTCTGCAGCTCTGAGCCTTCCTCATGTCTTTCTCTGCTCTTCCTTTCTGCCAATGCAAATCTTGCCTATCTTTTAGGATATAGTGCAAATATTGCTCTGTGTGTGTGTGTGTGTGCATGTGCGTGTACATGCGCATGTGCGTGCCAGTATCAGGGTTTGAACTCACTCTCACTTGGCCTTTTCCCTCATAGTTGGTGCTCTACCATTTGAGCTACACCTGTTGATGTCTTCCAGGAGAAAGACTGCTGGGATCTCACCATGCTGCACACTATCTTCTCCAGGTACATTTGTTAGTTTTAACCAAAGTTGTAGGTGAACATAATTACACCAGAATAGTGCTCGCTTTTTAATTTCACACAACCAAATGGACTGTCCGTGAAGCTGGGAAACAGGTCTAATTATTCATTTAATCAACCAAACTGATGAGTCTTTGTTTTTAACAAGATAACTGATTATAGAAAGGGTGGCAAAGATAACTAGAAAAAAACCTCA